TTCTAAATACAATACATTCGGTTGTGCAGATCTTTAATTCTTGATTCATATACTTCTAAGCATCACAACCATCTTGTGCATCTTCAATCAACTTAACATTCGTGACGAGGTCCAATGACGTCGAAACACTGGGAGGCTCATTCGATGAAGTTGATGGACTAGTCACTATAAGTGGACTGCTGACACTTTCTGTCTCCTTAATATTGCTGTCACTACTAAGATTCTGATGGCTACTATTTCCATTGCTAGTCATAGCATCCGAAAGAGAATGAGGTTTAGGCTTCTTTATAATAGTAGCATCATGTTGTCTCCTAGGCTTCTTAGCCTTTACAGTACCGCCATCACTTATCCTAGAATCTACTCTAGGTCCAGTTATATGATTTACCCTAAATGAAGGGTTCCGAAAATAGGCTTTATTCCGTTCAGACAATCCTGCCTGGGCCTTCTTTATATTTACTGAACTCATTAACCTCTGATTACTCGAATCCAAATAACCGTTCCAGGCTTTTCGAGCAGCTAAGAGGCTTTTATCATCACACACTTCGGATCCATCTTGATGCCTACACTTTTCACCTTTTTCTTTCTTTTCTATACTTAGAAAAGCCATCTTATCTGTTACACCAACCGGCTTCTTACTAGGACACGCATCAAGAGGTTTTACATCGTTACGGTCACATACTCGTCCTTCATCAGCGTATGCTTTCGTGATATAATTGACGACTCTCTTATCTTCCGGGCGAACGTTAGATAGAAACGAAGAATCCTCATGTCTCGCACGCAGACCACTAGTAGCTTCCGTATTATGTCCTGTTTTAGCCCGATAAGCTAATCTTCCAAACCTACTACTAGCTATCTTAGCGCAAGACATAATAAATTCCGTCAACTCATTGAAATTAGGCTCTCTCTCCTCTTCGTCCCACTTGATTCACAGCTCTGCCCACTGGGCTTGCATTCGACGAGGTAAGAGCCTGACTATTCGTTCTAAAGTAACCAAGGAATTAAGTTCCGTTGTGCAATTTAGCTGTTCTAAAGTTAAAGCAGCATTCTGCATTTTAATAGCCAAATTCGTCAATAATTCAGGATCATTAAAATCTGCGTTCCCAGTTCTAAATAAGTCCTCTAAGGTTTCTCGGGCTATTACATGCGACTGTCCAAAGAGCTGTTTTAAAATGGCCTTAGCTCTCTTATATCCTGCTTGTGGATCCATAATAATACAGCCTTCAATCGCATTTTTTGCTTTTCCCTTACAATAATGAATTAAATATAATAAACGAACTTGGTCATCTTTTATTCTGGGTTCTATAAACGTTTCTATTTGGCGCATAAACCTAAAGTAGTCGCGAGACTTCCCATCAAAAAATGAAAGTTCAACCTTAGGTAGTTCTAAACCTACTATCGGTGTCTTAAGTATCTGATCGGTCTCTGGTACCTTAGAACTCTCACTTAATCCTGGTTCCTTAATGCCTGCCAAAGGTGACTTACAATAATAAGTATCAGACATAACATCAGTGTTATCGGAGTGGTTACCCATTAAAAAAGTATCAATAACGACTTGCTTAGCTTTTCGGGATCCGTCAAGCTCTTCCACCCTCCCCGTGTTTGATTTCTTGCGACTTGACATTATAAGTGAAGTTCAACGGAAGATAAATAACAAATACAAAATATAGGAATTCCACAGATAAGTTCAATCAGAGATGTCCAAATCAAAAATTCGTCATCAAAGACACAATTCGAATATGAAAATACGATAAATAATCCAAAATTCTTCTTTCAAGAAAGTTTAGTGTGATAAACGATTAAATTTCCAAATGTTTCTTTATAATTCTTAATAATCCAACTGTAATTGGTCTTCTAATCAAAAGTAATAGATAATTCCAGAATATAAATGTTCTTAGGAATAATTCCAGACAGTAAATGGACTGGTTTCCAAAATTTCGTTAGACTGTAATTGGATTTTCTACCGTGACAGTTCAATTCGATTCCAATAGACGTATGTCGGACGCACTTGCCGATTTATAATATAAAACACAATAATTCTAGGGGGAAATGGTCTATTAATAGATAATAAATGGAAATACAAACAATACCTAACGAAATTTACGCCTTCCAATTCAAAATTACTCTGAATGAGTATCAAGGTTCCGAGGTCTAGGTGAACTCCTATACTGCACGATATTAATCCAAAAATGTGGCGGTAGCCATATTATATCAAATTTAAACAACATATGTACAGTTCAGAAGCAAACATAAAAACTTCAATATAAGTACAAAATATAGAAAGAATAACAATATACAATGATAAAATCTCAAATTGGAATCAAATAAAATACCAAAAATGTCCACAGAAAAAGTCCGTCATGTCATAACAAAAATATGTAAACATGGAGGGATTTTCCAAAACACAAAACATTCAAAAAGGATTCTACACCATTATTAATTGGGAGATCCGTGGATGCTGCTTCGATGTTGGGTGGGTTCAGTGGAGCTGGTCGATTCAGGAGTTCCTGAAAGTGCTCTATCCATCTATTTCGCTGTTCTTTAGTGTTGCTGATTACTTTGTCTTCCTTGCTTTTCACTGGTCGTTCTGGTTTACGATAGTTTCCGGCGAGCTTCTTTGTTGTATCGTACAATTGTCTCAGGTTTCCTTCTCTTGCAGCCTTTTCCGCCGTCATTGCTAGATCTTCCACATATTTTCGTTTGTCAGCTCTGATGCTCTTCATGACCAGAGTATAACAGCAGTTCCCCTGAAGCTAGTCTCAGTTGTCCTACCTGTGTCCAATGCGTCTCACTGATGCCGAGAACCTCGAGGTTGTATCTTCTCATTTCTGCCGCAACTTGAAATAGTCTTTTAGTCTCCCACAATGTTGGAACGTTCCATGTACCTAAAAGAATGGTTGCTATGGTAGCCCCGAAGGTTCTACTGGCGGAGTTGTCGTGAACCATAGGTAGGAATAATAAAGCCATTCTCAGCGCATAGCCGAAGCATAGTGGCTTGAGACTTACAGTTACCGATTGGTACGACAGAAAATGGGGCACCTGTGTCTACTAAACACCTAGCGTTAGTGCGCAAAATAGGCGGCCAATCTGAGGTGAGGGACCGACGAGTACGGTAGCATTTACTCTCCGGCTCAGGAGTTTCCCAGCTTGTATGGGAAAGGGGCTCCACAATGGCGGGCGCCGCACTTGAAGTTATAGTGGAACGAGCATAAACCCATACTCGCTTCCGTAGCCGCCTTTTGGCGTGGCTTGGAAGATGCCCACTTGGGGCTAGTGCTTGCAGCCTTACGTGATCGTAATCTGGCTTGGTGGACACCGAAGCAACCCAGTAGCTATCTCGCGTGCTAGTCCTCGCTAAAAATTTGTCTGCTTTGAGGGCAACCTCGGTAAGTAGTGTGTCCTCAAGCAGAGCTGTGATCGTAGGCTGAATATGGGCTGGTAGGGACTCGAGCAACGATTCTTCCACTATCTCAGAATTGACTGTCGTAGGTCCTGGCGAAGAGTGCAGGCGTGTGAGGTAGTGGCTCGGCTTAGCACCACACACGGGCAGACGTGCTAATAAAGTTCTCAAAAGTTCCTCCCTCGATGGGAGGAATTGTATGAGAATTGCTTCCTTGAGACGATCGTAGACGTCGGGTACGTTAGAAGTGAGGACGACCTCAAGGACAGCAGCTTTGTGTTCCCGAGGTAAAGACTTTAGGGTACAGGTATATGACTGCCGATGGTTCTTAATGTGGCAGATCTCGAATTGAGCATCCAGTGCAGCAAACCAGACTTCTAACTCGTGGGGAATAAAAGAAGCTGCCCGGAAATTAATAACCTGTAATTAGGAAGATCTAGAAACAGATCAAAGGAATAATAACTTCAGTATGTCATGAGGTTCTGGATCACAGCAACCACCATCACAAGGAATGCAACTCTGTTGATACTCCGGATAATATTCAAGAATGGAACAAAAGGAAGATAGCAATCATCATAAGCCGAAAAAGAGCAGAGAAAACTAAGGCACAAGCTGAATACACAGAATCAAAACAGTGAATGAAGAGGAGCATCAGAGCTGATAAGCGGAAGTATGAGCAAGACCTAGTAATGATAGCAGGAAAAGCTACAAGAAAAGAACATATGAGACGATCGGTCAAGAACAAGGAAGGTAAAGCAATCATCGAAATTGCAGAACAGCGAGACAGGTGTGTAGGGTACTTTGAAGAATTGTTGAATAGACCAGCCACAATCAACCCACCCACCCAACATCGAAGCGGCACATACGGACCTCGCAATCAAGGTTGACCCACCAACAATTGGAGAAATCGGCATGGCCATCAGACAGATCAACAGAGGCAAAGCAACAAGACCAGATATCATTACAGCTGAGACACTGAAACCAGACATCGCAGTAACTGCAAATACGTTCCACGCTCTTTTAACAGAGCGTAATGAATATTGTTCATGAATCTTAATTGGAGTTATTTATGATAATTGGTTGCCTATGAATAAATAGGCATCGAGAAATTTATTGAGTAGATACGTGGTAGAAGTAACTGTCCATTGTTGACCGTTGGTTTTGGAGTCCGAAGAACACAAATGTGAGAACAAACGATGAAATAATGTTCCGAATTACTAGAAAAGAGAGATTAATTGTGATCAGGCGGTTACTTTTGTACAGGTGGGATTACAAATTCAGAGATTATTCTATATGTGGCATACAGAATGCTTTCCGTTACTGATGTCGTCTTGAAACATTATTCAAATCCAGCTAGTGGCATTCAGACGAGATGAGCTGGCACTCACTATACACCTATAGTGTAAGGCAGTACGAAACAGGCACCGATATTCGTTGAAAATTGACAAGCTGTTTTTTGAAAGCAGCATTCAGACAAACAGGCAAGTGGACAAACCACCGAGAACAAAGTACTAGGTTTGATATCTAACATTTTATTCAATTATCACTGGACAAATATTGAAAAGTGTAGAGATTGTCCTTGAACACATTGTGTGCATTCACCTCATGCCTTCACTGATTTTCTCTTGTCTAAAAAACAAATGAAACAAACATAAATTTGGTGAGATAGTCAGTGAATAAACACTGACACATACACACAGATAGACGGTAAATCGTGCAATCATACATCATGACATGAGCTGGATGATTTGAGTGTGGAGAGTGATGCATGACAGTTAGCAGACTTACCTTGTTGTGGAGGTTGGGATTTTTTGGCAAGTGTTGGAGCATTAGGACCTGGAATGAAGTGAAACGACAGCTGTTTGTTAATCAGAATCTCAGTAGATTGCAACGATCAGTAGTGGGTGAGTGGGTGAGTGGGTGAAACGGAACAGATGCGTGTTGGCATTCGATGAGAGAGTATGAAAATGGACAGTGTTGTGAGGTTTAGTGAATGGATGAGTTACTGATTGAGCATATTGTCTGACTGTGAGAGTGAGTGCGTAAGTGAGTGAGTGAGTGAGTGAGTGAGTGAGTGAGTGAGAGTGTATGAGTACGTGTTTGTGGAGGAATGATCGGTGTGTTGTACTGCTGGAGACAATTGAAATAAACCAACAGAAAGAATAGATGTAGTTGGTGTAATGACTTACTGCGTCCACGTGGTGGTGATCTGGATGGGTTTATTGGATTCGGCTTTTTTCCCGATGGTTTGGTTTGTGCGGTTTGCTTGACGGTGGTAGCCATATCTGTGAGATAGAATGAAAGTACCTGTGTATTGTCCACGGTGTTAACTCAGACACACGCGATTCTAGTGATACGCACTTGAGAAGCATGCTGAGAGAAAGTTCAATGGGCACCGACTGCATGATTGTTTGAAGGGAATTTCAGTATTGACTGCAGATACATCACAAGAAGTGGAAGAGAGTGAGAGATATGTGAGTGGATGTGAATGGATGAGTGTTCAGTTGAAAGACGACTCTGTTGTCGAAAAGCTATGAGCGATGTTGCTGGGTACTGATTTTGATGAAGATGATAATGATGATGGTGACGATATTTATAGTGATGATGATGCTGCTGCTACTCTTGATGGTAATGATGGTGATAATGACGAATATAGTTAACAAGAGTGATGAGGACGAGTATAGTAAACGAGAGTGATGAAGAGGATTAAGGAGATAGTGTTTGGACAATCAACACAACAAATGAGGTGAGTGGTGTGAGTTGTGGTTGAACAGTGAGTGAATGAACTGACCTGGTTTTGCGCGTGCTGCCGCAGATTTTCGTGTGACTGTTGCAGCTGGTTGTTTATTGGTTGATCCGGCTGTGGCTGCAGACGTGGTATCTGTGTACGAAAACAGTAACGAAACAATATGTTGGTGGTTAAATTCGTGTTCATTTGTAGCAATCTCACTCAGTTCGATTGTTCATGATGCGTGTATAGATGTGCAACTGACATGACGATTGTTAACTGACTGACTGACTGACTGGCTAACTATGTGACCAGTGAATAATAGTAGAGGATAGTGAGTAGGGATTGTGATGTTCTCCTGTGGCGAGTAAAACGATGGTCGTACGATTGTCATCTGCGAAACACACAATGATGCTCGATGCTTCTAACCACATGGTTTGAATTGTGTCAGTAGACTGTGATTGAATGCACAGTTGTATGGATGAGTGGATGAAGTGGTGGTGGATGAGAGAATGGATGAATGAATGAACGAATGTGTGAGTTAACAGGTGAACGAGTGAATCGATGGCGTGATGGATGCACGGAGAGACGGACAGACGTCTGGTTGGATGGATGGATGGATGGATGGATGGATGATGGATGGATGGATGGATGGATGGATGGATGGATGGATGGATGGATGGGTGAGTGGATTGATGAAGGAATGAACGAGTGAAAGTCGACTGCGTCCGTTTGGATATGTATCAGAGACTCACCTCCGTCACAGTGCACCACATCCAGGTAGTTCGAAGCGATGGTGAAAATCAATACTGCGACCTGTGTGAGAGAGGGAGAGAGAGGAACGAAGAGGGAGAAAGAGCGATTTAGTCGATAAGTCGAATGAATGCCTTACCAATGTTGTTTGCATTTTTACGTTCAGTGTGTTCTGATGTTCGAGTGAGTTGTGCACTTCAATTTATATGCTTGTGGAGTTGTCGATTTCTCGGTCACCTGATCGAACGGAACGTTGCCTTGCAGAAATGAATACTAGCAATGTGACGTGTGGTCGATCGAAGGAAGTGTCACGTTACTTCAGCTGATTGAAGCGTTCAATGAAGTGAATTCACGTGGAAAGTGGCAGAATGTGAGGTTCGTTTGATTGTTTGTCTGTTTGTCTTGTTGGGGTTCTGTGTGTAGGGAGGTCGATGTCAGGTAAGGAGATTGGGATCGAGATTACTCAACAGTGTCAATTCATTGTGAATTGAAATGGTAATGATGCACTCCGTTCCGTGGTTAGAACTGTGAGTTAGTTAGTTAGTTAGTAAGTTTGATGTACTCTGAATTAATTCACAGATCTTCGCATCCCATATCACATCACGAACGTGCTCGAGAAATTCAACCTTACAAAATGTACAGCGATCATCACTGCATCATGTGGAATTCGAATTCAGTCATATTTTACTGACTGTGATGCGGAATATATCAGTATTATTCTGTTTTATTCGGTGAACGTCTGCCAAACACTCGTTGGTTGAGCATAAGACGTTGAGAATTCAGGAAATCAATTTAGCAGGGGCTCTACTGTCTTGATCAATAACATCAGAAAGCCAGCATATTTTAACAGAATGATCAAATGAAACTACACATTAGTAAAAACATGTACTTCGTGAATCAGCATGGCTCCATATATGCTGCAAAATCCACTTTCATTTATTTCACTATTGATACAGGCAGTTTGGAGTCAATGATTTCATTCAAAACTCAACAATTTGAAATGTCAACGTTGTAGCTGAATCACAGAAGTTTTCAGCGTGACATGCTCCTATTGTTTCTCCTATGAATTGTGATGACAAACTCCCAGAGTATGTGGTGATTACAAAATAATAGCATTGGGCTCTCTCGAAGTGAGATCTTTAACTTCGTGAAATCGATTTCATTGATCTACATGCCTATTAAAAATGACATATGACAGATGACACTCACTTTTTCAGTACAGTGACATCTCGTATTACCAGTAACGATTTATTGAATACAAATTTTCATTTGGTTCATCGTGAAATCAAGAGGTTTGCAAGCATATAAATTCTAAAGCACAAGTCACTGAGACATCAGAAGTCAGTGAGCGTAAAAATGCAAAGAACTTTGGTGAGGCACTGATTCGTGTGACTAACCAAACCACCTCGGTTTTTCCTTCAATTGCAGATAGTGCTGCTCATTTTCAGTGCCGCTGTCTACTATCTGGATGTGGTGAACTGTGATGAGGGTGAGTTGTACGTGAACAGACATGCTTACTTCATTCATTCAACACCTCTCTCACACACTTGTCAAACCAGTAATTATATTTGTCACTGTAGTGTTTTACGATCCAGTTACACATTCCATAAAGTATCATTGGGAGTAGCGAACACCACTGATTTACGAAAACTGTAAATATCAAAACATCCGTTTCTCGTCTGTTAAATCCTACTTAAACTGAATGAAGCTTGTGCTATTTGACGCGTACTAATTGTAGTGGTTTTTCGCTTTTAGACAAAGGTGCAGCCACGACAACTCCCAAAACTGCTGAATCCAAAAACCATGCAAAACCTGAATCCCGTGAGTTCCTTCTGAAAACGTGATTTTCTCAATAGTTAACAGTATGTTTGACTGTGTGGATCAACCTAATGCGAACCAGAATCTTAGGAAAGTATTTTCACTTCGCAAATAGAATGTCATATTTACATGGATATTTTGCACTCAGCTGCATTTGGTTTTTCAGTAGCGAATAATCGTAGTCTCTCAAAGTATTGGTGTAGTTGGCTTCCTCTACATTTACGGCATGAGTGACTGGAAACACGAATAGTTAAATACTTCTTTACATAATCGACATACTATTATTCTCGATGGGACTCATTGCCGTAAATACAGATTGTGCATGGATTACACAATTAGTAAGCGAACAATAATTTGTGGAGTTCAATATAGCAAATCAACTTTGTGATAATTCGAGCATAGAAAATGGATGAATGCTAGATTCCTTGTTATTAGGATCCATTTCCATTGTCGATTGACAAATAACTCATATCTATACTATTTTTCTTGAACAGTTTTCGAACTAATTATAGAGATAGTTTTCTAATATATACTAACAGTGAGTTCGCTGGTGCAGATCTATAATATGAAGTACATTCGTTCGAGGCCGTCTCTCGACAAAATTTCATTCATCTGACTGCATTATTGTTTCGAATAGTCAGCTAACTGATGAGACACTGTAGGCAGCAGATGGATAGATTGAAAGATTACTTAAACAAAGCGTTTTAATTGATGTTTGTGGAGATTATTTAATTTGATTGGTCGTTCATTTCGGTAGAGTACACATTTTGTCTGATTTTATCACCCTTATTCGCCTTCCGCTGCCAAGCGTGATGCAGCGGCGGAAATACCAAAGCAATTATCAAGTGAACGGCCAGCTCCAAAAACCAGATCACCATGATAAAGTAATTCAACAAGAAAAGTGAATTCAACATCCCACTCAGTCACTCATTCCCACTTACATTCGTAATCATTGTAACCTGGTAAACTTGTAGTTGATCGACATGCACCTTGTCATTGTTTTCAGCTTCACATGGTAAGGGGAAACCTAGAAGAGACTGGAGGAAAGTGTATGGTAAGTCTGGAGGTGCTCATTTATCATTTCGTGATCTAAAATAAGATGACTGTTGATTAAATACTTCTATGTTCACTAGCAGTGATCAACTATGTGACTAATCATCCTCTCATGTGGTTGTGTTTCTTCACAATCCGTTCTCCGTCCAAATCTCTGTGTAATGCTGTACACTGAAGAATTACTGTTCTTTATTCACTTCGCCATGTCCAACCTCTTACACAGAGATAACTTCTCAGACTGTTGGTTGTTCAGTCAGTGTATCAGCACATAAGTTTATTCATGAGTATTTACTCATGCACACCTGCTATTGCCAAGTAAATTCGACAGTTGATTACTCTTGCTTTCTGTTTTCTCATCCCCAGGCTTGAAGAAAGCAGAAAAAGAATAAACTGGACGCTGACAATTCGATCGTCATTCGACTTTTAACTTTGAAATTCGCATTTGGCGACAAATAAAAAACTATATTGCTGAACATTGTATTTTACACTTCAATGCTTGTGTGATTGTCGATCTCTATCCGTCTTGTGCTTTCTACTTATGCATGTCTACACCACATTTGAAGAAGATTGTACTGTCTATTGTTACTTGTGTAGAGCTGACAGCGAATTTAGAGTCAGCTGAGATCATTTGTACTTAGTGTTGTGGATGCACAGAACAGTTGAGACCGAGTATTCAATATAATGGAAATATCATTGTACATTTCATGCAACTGAACTCTCACAATAACACACAATAGAATGTATGAGGCTCAAATTAA